ATTTAGTTTTAATCCAAATTATGCGTGTGCTAAGTGAGTGAACATCAAATATCACTCAACAGAAGTGCGCGCTCTCTCTCTCTCTCTCTCTCTGTCTCTCCCTACCGTTAAGTAACTTGTGCATTGTTTTACTTGCTTGTTTTTGACATATCCGACCGAACTACAAACTTTCCAGTGATGTCTGTGAGAAAGGTATATTCACTCGACAAGCTCGCGCATCTGCGCCGCCGCGCGCTCAATCCACTCAGTGTGCTTTGTTTATCAGCTCGCTCACATCAGCTATACAGGCGTTAATACTGAATGTTTAACGTTATATTCATTGCATACATATACTTCGTAGTAGACATCCTTAACTCCATTCTGCTGTCTGTTGTTCTGTTGTCGGTGTTTCTTTGTCTGAATATGGCGCTTATCACATGCTGTGTGGTATCGGCGTTTGGTATCGGGGCATTTTAACGAGTACAGGAGCTCTGTATCGGTGCATCCCTAATTGCAATAAAATGTCAAGAAACACACTGAAATTTTGAAGTAGAAAGACTGAAATAGTATTTTCTCATTAAATATGTTGATCATTGTTTTTTTAAGTTTGTAGAAAATTAAGTTTGTTTTTTTAAGTTTGAAGTCATTTTAAAAGTAATTTTTACAGTCTTTAAGCATAAATATATGTTGTCAAATTTGTGTTTTTTTAGATGTACGCCATGCATTTTTTTGTATATGTTTTGGTTACATCTGCATGATAGAAATATCACTTTCACAGACATATTGACCTCTTATGATCGCTTATGTTCGCAACAGTCATGCTAGCATAATACTCTTCCTAATTCTGCAGTTTAATCAGTATAATAAGCATATTTAAAGGGTTAGTTCACCCAAAAATGACTGTCATTAATTACTCACCCTCATGTCGTTTCAAACCCGTAAGACCTTCGTTCATCTAAACAGATCCGTGTGACGCAGCTGACACAGAACAGCATACGCTGTTTACGTCCAGCGGATATTCCCCAAAATGGCACCAGGGTGACGCGGAGGAGACGAATTGTTGAATAAAGTCGTTATTTTTTTTCTTTTGCGCACAAAAACTATACTCGTAACTTCATATAATTGCGGATGTCACATGGATTATTTTACAGATGTCCTTGCTACGTTTCTGGACTTGGGAACATTTCAGTTGCGTTGCTGTCAATGGAGGGTCAGACAGCTCTCAGATTCCATCAGAAATATCTTCATTTGTG